AAGAAGAATGAAGAAGAAGAGAAGTCTGGAACTTTAGTTATCCCTCAATTGTCTTCCACGTGGATATAAAATATCCTCAACTAATATTTAATTATTTCCCTTATTAAAAGACTCTTTTACCCCCTTTAGTTCCTCATTCTTTGTTAATTGATCCTACACAAAGTATTTCAATCAATTCTTTAAACTTTTCAATTTATCCAATTTGGTCACTGAATTTTTAAATCTCACAATTTAATCACTAACCCGGTATGGAGGATGTTACATAAACTCCGATAACATTTTAGGCGCAATCGAATATATTAATAAGATTTATAACATTTACCGTTTACAACTTATTTTCTTACTTCTATGACATTTTAGGTGAAAGATGTTATATTACTACTATTGATAACTTTTATAATTGTGAACCTAAATTCTCCAAGACAATATTTTCTTTGTCCCATTTTACATACAACGGTAATATTTTCACTTGCAATCTTTATTATTATCGATACGAAATAAATTTTTTGATTCTTAATCATAACATTTTGTATTTCATTTTAACGTATTATCTTTTGAATGATCATACTGTTTATTAGCCTTATTTTAACAATATCACATCATAACTTCCTAAAGGGCAAGGACTTTTGGCAAATGGAAGCATGTTCAACAATGAGCCGGGGCATCAACAAATTACTTAAGCTACGAACTGAAACTCATCCAATCCTTCAAAATGGAACACCATCGATAAGGTTAATTTGGCAATAGATTAGAACGAAGGGGGACAAAGTTCCTTGGCAATCTCTAGTTTGGTTCCCACATAACATTCCTAAGCACAGTATGATAGCTTGGATGACAATGATCGATAGGTTGCCTACTCGAGATCGCCTTCAACGCATAGGCATTGTTTCTAATGGAGGAACGCAATCGAAGAATTTTCAAATGATGCTCTCGAAGCATTGAAGAAATACTTAGCACCATCAAAGATCTTGTTCGTATTAAACTTAGGGGTAAAAATATTAATAGGCTTGATGATGTAAACTCCGGTCTTTGTATTGCCTGGGGTATTGATTAATACCAATTATTCTTTTTTTTAGCCTGTATTTTCTTTCTGTTTCCTGAGATCGGTGATTTTTTGTAGTAAACTTTGCTGTTGGATAATAAAAATTCGACTTATCCAAAAAAAATCTCAAAAATAATTTATTGGACCAATACCTCTCAAACAACATTAGTTAGAAAAATACCCCCAAACTTCTCATGTAGGACTATCTCGCGTCCTATAAAATACGTTTAATGAACCTCGCATTTTATATGGTGCGAGACCTATAAATTTTTTCAAATAAAATAATTTAATTTTAGATAAAAATAATAATAATTACAAAAAAACTCACTTTTCGTATAACTTAAGAATTGACGTCACTTTTTGCATAACATGGCATCATCTTACATGGACAATTTATGATTATTTTTATAATAAATTTAGTTTGTGAGGTATTTCTCAAAAATAATAATTTTTAGGAGTTATTTTATATAATAGCGTCTTTTATCATTGTATCCAAGTTCACTACAAAATGCATGCAGAGACCTTTCACGTAGACATGACTAAACAAAGGCTGTCCGTGCATATAGGCAGGTACGAATTTTGGTTGTTTAAATCAATCAAATAAATAAGAACTGGCAAAAACATCAATCAAACGTAGAGTAGCAAAGCAAATATAATGAATGACAGCAGCAAATAAATAGGCAGACCAGCTTCTGCTGCGGCCTATACTCAAAAGTCATGGGGTCAGTCAATACCTACAGGTGTTCGACAGTAAGCAAATTAAACTACTTAATTATCCTTTTTAACATTTGGACATTAAAATTTTCAGCACTTGGTTTAAAATTTTAACACAGTTAAAATTTATTTATGTATGCGTAATTTATTTTCTTCAACTTTGTTATTCTTCGCAACTAAATTTTAAACTATTATTATATAACTTTACATCGCATTGGCAGTTATCTTCGCAGTAGAAGGTTTGCAGCTCCATTTGGTTTTTTCAAAGCTTGGTGGTAGTCAGGTGAGATAGAATGTGTTATATGTAGTGTGGGATAAGGCCATTAGTTTTGTTAGTTGAGCTTTAGTGTTTTTGGAGATGTGGAATGGATAGGTAATGTTAAAATCTGGGTGTGTTAAGCTAATGCTAGTGTTTTTGGGTATGATGTCTGTAATCTATTGGGTCGTAACTTGAAAGGCCGAAGTATTATTTTGTTGTTTTTGGGTTGAACGTGTAACTCGGTGGTGTACTTTTCTCTAATTAAGAGTATTCTTTTTTTTTATTTAGGTTTAGGGAGATTTTTAACGAGATTCTTAATTTCGATTTTATAAATAAAATTAATTTTGCTGAGAAAAAAAATATAACTCTACATCTCAACTTCATAATGTCATGATCATGGAGGAGAAAAGGAGATTAACGGTCATGATAGTGGGTTGATCAGGGAGGAGGAAGAGAATTGGGTTGATAAAAAAAAGAGTCCAATAATAACTTGAATCCGACGTGTTCTGACTCGACCCAGCTCAATAGGCTATATAGGGTAAATAAAAGAAAACACATCAAATGGGTGACATAGTTGATCCATCTTCAATCTGGTAAGCAAAAGAAAACACATCAAATGGGCGATACAGTTGATCCATTGACTACTACACAGGGTCAAATGGGCGATACAGAACATGCAGGGTACTTAAAGATGATTTTAGAAAATTTGAAGAAGAATCAATTGTTTGCAAAGAGGGACAAATGTTGTTTGGTCAGCCACAAGTGTAGTACTTGGTTCATATCAAATCTTCTACGGGGATGTCTACTGATCCAGCAAAGATCGAAGCAATAAGACACTGGACACTTTGAAAAACCATCAAATCCTTGAGGTGCTTTTTGGGTTTAACTGGATACTACAGGAAATTTATGAAGGGATATGAGGTCATTAGCAGACCACTGACCTGAATATTACGAAAGGATTCATTCAAGTGGACACCCAATTCTATTGAAGCCTTTGAGATATTGAAAGAAGCAATGTGCGCGGCTCTAGTACTAGCCTTACCAGATTTTACTAAAATCTTTTGTTTGGAAATTGATGCAGGTTCTAGGTGTATTAGGATAGTTCTTTCACAGGAAAGGTGATCAGTGGCTTATTTTAAGCAAGGCTCTAGGTCTTAAACAGACAGACATGCCAATCTATGAAAAAGAGTATATTGACATCCTAAAAATAGGGGTAAGCGGAGACACTGTCTTAAGTTCAAACCATTTGTGATCAAAACTGGTCGTGAGCCCTTGAAGTGTCTTTAGAAGCAATGATTATGTTATTTTTTACCCAAAAAAAAAGGTAAACATAATGCAGTGCCTGATGCATTGTCTAGACACTACAAAGAGAGCATTGAATATTTTTTAATGACAATGGTTATTCCTAGTTGGTCCATGATATAGGAAACAACTATGCATGGGACAATTTGGCAACAGAAATTATTACAATAGTAACAGTAAATTCTAATAGTATGTCTAATTGGACTTATAGTAGAGGAGTTTTTGAAATGAGCTTATGAAACAATTGGGTATTTCTACCATATTTAATATTACGTACCATCTAGAAACTGATGGACAGTCTGAGGGGCTGAATCAATGCCTGAAGCAATATCTTAAAGGACTATGCTTTTTAAATCCTACCAGTTGGGCGAAGTGTCTATCACAGGCTGAGTAGTGGCACAACATAAATTACCAGAGTCATAGGAACCATTTGAAGCTCTTTTTGGGTATAAACCTCCAATCAGGAACTCGATTGGAAATTCAGCAGTGTAGGGTGTGCAAGAGATAGTGCAACAAAGGGCACATTTGACTAAGTTATTAACAAAACAACTTAAGCGTGCTCAACATAGAATAAAACACTGCGGATAAACGAACAACTGAAAGGCAGTTTCAACCAGGAGACGAGGTGTACCTAAAATTGCTACTCTACTGTCAATCGTCTTTGGCCTTGAGAAAAAAATTAGAAGTTGTCTGCCCGATACTATAGACCCTACAAGATACAAGAGAAAATTGGGTCAGTTGCTCATAAATTAGAACTGCCTGCAACATCAAAGGTCCATCTGGTATTTCATGTTAGCTTATTGAAGAAGAAGATTGGGCACAAGAACATTACAACAAGAGATCTCACAAAACCGACATCGAATGGTCAATTACGAGTGTACCATGCAATTGTGTTGGACAAACGAATCATTAAACAGAAAAATCAAGCTGTAACTCAACTGTTGATTCAGTAGACAAACTTAGGAGCTGAGAGTGCTACCTGGAAAGACCATAGTGTGTTGAAGTCATAATTTCTCAATTTTAATCCTTGAGGACAAGACTAGGATGCAAACTAAAATATAATATTAAAAATTTAACCTTTACATGTTTTGGTGTAATGTAAGGAACCATAACCGAATCATAGAATTATCGATCACCTACCTTAAGATACGGGTGTTGACATGTGGCTTGTTATCTGCCATTTGTGGAAACGACTCAATAACTTTATTCACTTTAATGTTTAATACAATTTGCCTCTTTTCGAGGTTCATTTCTTTCCAAATTGACACCGACTGATGCACATGAAACCACACATTTTAATATTTTTATGTCATTATAAAAAGCATTCATGTATACAATAATTGCCTGTTAATATCATAAAATAAAATATTAAATTTCAAATATTTATATTATAACAGAATGAATTAAATTAGGATAAGATATTTAATAATAATTATTTACAATTCTTAATTCAAATTAATTAAATATAAATAATTATAAATATATATATTCAAGAGGATGAATACTAAGAGAATGAATGAGATATTATCAAAGATTGTTTATAATTTTAAAAAATTATATATATAATTGTTTATAATTTTCAAAAATTATATATATAATTGTTTATTATTATAGTTTTGATTTCTCTATAACAATCTTTTTTTTTTTAAGGAACACTCTATTATATATGTGGTGTTTCTTCTCCATTTCCAGATCCGATCTTATTTTTGCACCGACACGCGAAGTTTCTAGTCCTTCAAGTCAAAGCCTTTTTCATTTCCTTGGTTAATGTTTCCCGGAAACTCAACCGTTCCCGGAATTCCCTAAGAGAAAGTAAAGTGTCCTCTGTTTGTTAGTTTGGGATCATTCGGATTCTCTGGGTAAGTCTCCATCAAAGCTCTCTCAATTTGATTTTCAAGTGTTGAAAATGGGTTTGCTTTTAAATGCAAGTTGTTGCACTGTTTCAGATTATATTTGCACTTTTGATCCTGCATTTTACTTCTCATAGCATGCATTCTGAGCTTGTTTTTGTGTGATTTCTGACCTTAAATATAGAAAGGAGTTGGATTTATCATCTTGGTCAAATCTCTTAAATTAGCATTGGGTCTTTAATACAGTGATCTTTGCTTGTTTGACCTTTTCTTTTAATTTTCTCTTTGTATGGTTTAGTGTACTGTAATTGTTATTATAAGAATATTGTGGTATTAGTAAGTTGAATTATATGAATACGTCGGATTATACATCTGTCGAAGAACCCAATGTTTTCTGGTGTTTTCCGGTAGGTTAATTGGAAAGGAAGTTCGACATGTTCCGAGTTTCGCCTAGTAGGAACCAAAGATCGAAAGGGTTGAAGGTAAAGCATGCTCTTCAAATATGTGTTCTTGTAGGTATCTGCATCTGGTTGCTTTACCAAGTTAAGCACTCTGGTGAGAAGAAAGCAGCGTACGAGACATCGGGGAATGAAGTCGTTAAGTTGGGGAGAAAGGACTTTCCTCGATCGGAAGGAATAACCGTTAAGGATGCACGGCTCAAGGACGAAGAGGAGGAAGAAAGCAAGAACGGAGAAGAAGATAACAAGCCTGAGGTAACTGAAGATGAAGGGAAAGAGAATGGGGATGTCGATGCAGTGAACGAAGGTGATAACCAGAAATCTGAGGAGGAAACTGAGCGCCGAGAAGATCCATTAGAGGGAGGGAAGGAAGAGGAGAGTGAAGAGAGCAAAGAAAATGGAAAATAGTGGGAGCGAAGAGGACACCGAAAACAAAGGGAATGAGGAGGCACATGAAGAGAAAGAGACGGAAAAGAGTGAAGGTGAGATAGAGAGTTCAGGTGCCTCGGATGACCGGGTTTTGGATGGAGTTGACCAGAACAATGAAGAAGCAAGAGAAGAACTTTACAAAGCGGATGATGCTTCCAGCGAAGTAGTCCATGATGTCCAAAATGTTGCAGTTGAGAATGAGACAAGTGGTTTGGAAAATTCCGATGTGTCAGAGCAATTGGAAAACAAAGATAAGAAAGATCAGGACGAAACAAATAGCAGTGAAGCAGACGATGTTCATCATGATGAGTCAAATGTGCAAGAAAATGAAACAACTGAGAACCAACAAGAAAGCAGTAATGGGAGTAATGAGGCTGAGTCAAAAAGGGATTCAGAAACTGATACAGCTACAGAATCAAACGAGAATCAAACAGGTGGGGAGCAATCTGAGAAATCGGATTCAAGTGGCAGTGGGGAGCAATCAGACTCAAATGCAACTCCAACTTCAACTGAGAATGGGGATGGGGATGGAACAAATGGAGATTCCACAAGCTCTGCAAGAAACACTGAATCTATTGAATCAAATGGACAGACTGAAAACACCAATGCATGGACCGGATCAGACAGCAATCCAAATGATGTTCAGAGTGAAGAATCAAACAAGAATTCTGGAGGAGAGGGGACACAAGAAAATGTTCTGTCGCTAAACACGAATGAGAATTCAAATGCTAGTGAGAACAAAGATGGCGAAACATCCTCGAACACTGATGATAAAGCTGGTTCAGGTCAGAATGGGAACGATAGTGGCAATACGAACAATGATGGGAATGCAAATGGGAATGGCAGCAGCACCGACAATCAGAGCAATGCAACAGACAGTGCAGCTTCAGATGTTACTCAAAAGGACAACAATTTGAATGAAAATGAACATGCTGCTCATAGCAACACCGAAAACAATGAAAATGCAAGTCAGAATGAGAACAATGCCACTCAGAGCAACACAGACAATAATGAAAATGCAACTGCAGATGTCACTCAAAATGACAACAATTTGAATGAAAACACTGCTCAGAGCAACACCGAAAGCAATGACAATGCAGGTCAGGATGAGAACAAGGCCACTCAAAGCAACACCGAAAGCAATGAAATTGCAGGTCAGGACGAGAACAAGGCCGCTCAGAGCAACAGCGACAGCAATAACAATCCAGGTCAGAACGAGAACAAGGTCACTCAAAGCAACAGCGACAGCAATAATAATCCAGGTCAGAACGAGAACAAGGTCACTCAAAGCAACACTGACAACAATGAAAATGCAGGTCGGGTCGAGAACAATGCTGCTCAGAGTGGTACCAACAACGAAAATGCAAGTCAGAATGAGAATAATGCTTCTCAGAGCTACGACGCCAATAACAACAACAATGAAAATGCAAGTCAAAATGAGAACAACGATGCCGTTTCGAGCCATACCAACAGCAATGAAAACTCAAATCATAATGAGAACAACAATGGCATTCAGAGTTTCAATGACAGCAATGGAAATTCTAATTACGATGCAAATTCAGAGCAAAACAAATCAGTGGATTCTTCTAATCCCGATAATTCTTCCGATGCTTCAACGACTCGAGAAGTGAAAGAAGCTCAAACAGGTTTGGGAACTCTGCCAAATATCACGAACGAGGGAAATAACAGTGGGAATGCAGCTGTAGAATGAAGTCGTAATGGTTTGTCATTCACTATATGACTATTTACTGTCACTAAATCTTTCTTTTCTTCTTCCTGTGGTGGGATCAGGACATTGTATGTGTCTTAGCTACTTGTGGTTTATTGTGATATTATTTCTGAAGAGTATTATTTTTTACTTGTAGATTTCTAGTTATAATAATCGAAGTTCCAAGTTTTCATAAGCCACATATAATGCTTTGAATCGTGTTGTTATCGGCAAAATTCAAGTTTTTTTATGCAAATGGCTCTAAGTTAACCATCGAAATGACATAGAATCGCCAGATTTTTTTTCTTTTTTGCGGAATCCATGAATTTGCTGAGCATTAGGACCAGTGGGGTTGGCGAAGATGGTTCCATAACACCTAAATTTCTTTTGAAAACTCAACCCTCCACCTTATTCTTTGACATCGTAACCCCCTCGTTGCCATATATTTTCGAAATTACCTGACAATTCATCACCCCTCTTTGTCAGATAAAGATGATTCCATAATTTATTATTTGTATTATATGTGATTTAAATTTTAATTAAAATATTGTTATTTCTAGAAGATTTTAGTTCGAGTACGTGTATTTGTGTTATCAATGATTAAAAGAATATTAGATCGATTGTATCATATAATCACTTAGATTATTAAAAAATAATTAAAACTTAAATTGAATGAATTTTATTATAATTTTAGTAGTAAAAAATTATTTAATAATTAAATTTATTTATATAAAAATTTTTTAGAGTAATGATTCTCAGCGATTAAATATTTTTTCCATAATTATAAAAGTTTTAATCTTTAGAAATATATGAGAATTATTATATAAATATATTAGATTTGTCAGATATATGAAATTCCTATGTATTGGAATTATTTGTTATCTTTATACTTATAGTTGATTACACAAACCAAGTGATCTTGGTGATAAAAAAATAGTTGTTAAGGATTACGGTACACAGCATTATATAAACTGATCAAATTTTGGCTTCTTGACACATGTCATAGATTGTAATTTAAATTTTGTTTTGGTTTAATCTGGAAAGAAATAATTGAAAGCAAAAATAGAAATTATAACAGATATGATATATATTATCTTAAAGTGTTATAAATGTGTGCATATAAATTTTAGTTTTACGAGTCTTCCCTGTACGATATTGTGACACATTTAAGATTCAACCTAAAAGATCCACAAACAAACCGATCATTAATCTTATTATTTCGTAACAGGGGGGCGCATCCATGTAGAAAGCCTGATAAAGTTGCAATGCAAAGTCTAGAAATCCAGAAACATGAATGGAACTGCTAAAATTACATGCAAAGATCCACGGTGTTCTGATTGATTTCTCTGACAAATCACAAGAATGTGACGAACTCGGAAAGATTCGAGTCAATTGGGCCATCGGTCGCCCTAGTGATGCTTCTTCTTCTCAAACAGGCCATCTGGTCCTGAATACAAAGATAAATATATTGAATCAACCTACACACGAACACACAAAACCTGAAGAAAAAACTTATTTCATCCACTTCCATTGTAATACCAAATTCACACCCAGATTTCTGTATGAGTTATCACTCATTCTAAATAGGCTCATCATTCAAAACAAGCAATGCTTAGTCAAGGAGAATCGAGCCCACTAGGCTAATATGCTAACTAATGACATCGACAGGGCCAAAAACTCTCCAAATTACCATAACAAATTGCAATGCACTTGGAATATTACTCTGTGAATAAGAATTACATAGTATTTTTTTATAGTTCATATGCAATATGATTGTGAAACTCTCCAACCAGCAAGGAACAGTAATTACAGCTATATTATCGGTAGCTATAATTTCCAAGGAAAGACCAAATAGAGCCTAAAAAACAAAATCTAAATACAAAAAACAACATTCAAATTGAATCAAAAGAAATTGAAACCGGCAACAATAAGAATAACATACCCCATGGGAACTCCTTGTTGCGAGTGTGCAAATATGGGTACGGCTGCAAACATTCACACATCATGACAAATCCAAGAATCAAAACAAATAAAAACAATCTTTAAAATTAAATATATAAATAAATAAAACCGAGTAAATATAAGCTTACAGGAGGCTCTTCATGGTGGGGATGACCTTTTGATAGATTGTAAATGGCTAAAACAGTGCATGTAGCAACACCCAAATATGTTATCTTTTCCCATTTTGCCGTTTCATCTAAAAAGGCAAAAAGATAAATTCATGTTACAAACAATTATATATGATATTTCTATGCTGTTTGGATCTGTAACTACATAGTGTTCTTTCCCGATGTCCAAAACTTCATTTTTTTTAATAATCTAAACTTATTTACTTATTCTATTTCTAACATATATTCGATTAAAATCAAAAGGGTACATTAAACAATAAACTCAAATTTAAGAAATCGATAGATTGATGTGTATAATTGATTCAAATAAGATAAAAATAATAATAATTCGTATGAGCAAAAAAATAGATAAAGAAAAGCCCGCATACACTCATCGTCGTGATGAGAAGAGGAAGCGAAGCCCCGCTTGGGAGGAGCAGTAGGCCGAGATCCGCCGCGAAGGGCTGCTCGGAGGAGACCAGATCGCACGCTCGCCATCGCCATTTTGTCGATTTTTCTCGGTTAAAATGTGACTTGAAGAGCCTTGTTTTCTTCTCTTACTAAAGCAGTCAGCGATTATACTAGATTAGAAGAGAATGTTTTCGCACGTGCGAAGTGCGTGGCTTTTGCACCAGTTCTCTTTAGGGATAAATATCGAAGTTAGATGAAAATGGGCAAAACGCGGATTAACATCAATTAAAAAAAATTATATAAAATGGTTAAACTACAAAATTTATCACTAAATTTTACTCTTTTTCCTATTTTACTTATTGTACTTTTAAATTTTTTAATTTACTTATTAAACTTTTGAATTGCTCATGTTTTGATCACTGTGAATTATTTTATTATTATTTGATATGATATGGCATTTTATATTATTGTTTAATATAAAAATAATTTAAAATAAAAAATTAAACCTAGAGGTGGTCGACGGTAATGAGATTATTTTAAATCATTTTAAATTTATACTAAAAATGTTATTTTATTATTTATTTTAAATTATTTTTATTTAATAATTTTAAATCTAGATGGTGGTAGACAGTGATGAGAAATTTTTTGTCTACTAACTCTATACACGCCCATGCAAGAATTGTTCCTATTCCCCTTATTGGCGTTAAGACAACCTCGACTTCCCAATAAAAGCAAGAACCAACACACGCTCATCTTAGTAGTAAATCATTTACTACAACTAGTCAACTACACACTGTCACCCGTGTAAGCGTAATCTCCTCCAGCCCAACTAAGGTCACTACCAGGGATGACAAACGGATACAGTTTCATGGATTCCGTACCGTATCCACTCCAATTGGAGCGGAGATGGGTATAATTTTAGCGGGTAGTGGGCGGGTGTGGATTTATAAAGTGGTACCCGTCGTGGGTGGTGGGCGGGTAATGGGTTTGAGACATTACCCGCCCCGCATCCGCCCGCCCCACATCCGCCCGCCCGCCCAGCTAAATATCTATTAAATTTTGGACCATTATGAATTTAAGTGTAATTTTAGAGACTAATTTATAAATTTTAATATTATATAATATATAACATATAATTTAACTAAATATTAAGGATATTTAGTCTTTAATCTGGTATTTAATTAGGGAAATATTCGGCTCTTTGATTAAACTCATAATCCCACTAACCACGTCACTTTCCATGTTTTTTAGCCCATGCTGCTCATCCAAACACAAATTAGCCGTACTATAAGCATTAACATCAAAAGCAACAGTTTCCATATTCTTTAACCCCTCAAAACCCATATTAGGCGCACTATGAGCATTAACATCGAAAGCAACACAACAATCCAGCTCTACGACTACATGCTCCCTACAATCTGTCTCCATAACATTCGTAGAGCCACTTCTCTGACAAATTGAAGCATGCGCTGCTACCCCATCACGAACTGTCTGGGAATCAACTCCAACATCTCATTAGTTTGTTGTCAGGCGGGTTTAGATGGGTATGTCGCTAGTGGGTAGTGGGTGTGGGGATGGATTTGAAAATGTACCCGCGTGGGCGGATGTGGATTTGAAAATTTGTAACTATCATGGATGGTGGACGGGTGGGTGAATTGAAAAATAGTAGATGGGTATGGGGATGGGGAAGGGGGTATCCACACCCGACCCGCCCGTTTGCATCCTTAGTCACTACCCTAAAGCAATAGGGTTAAGATGACTTCACTAAACAGTGAAGTACTCCCACGGCTTACTACTGACGAAATTTTAAAAAATACTATTAGATATTCTGTAATGAATCTAGAATCAAGCTACTTTATAGTTTGTCCTCAACAAAAGAGGATAAAATATTATACCTCTAGTTAGAGGTCACCTTATTACTCTTAAGGTCTAACGAATAATATGCACACACTAGACTTAGATAAAATCTCAAACATGCTCATGTGATGCATCAGAATAAAATCTATAATTTGACTATCAGATCTTCTTAGCCTACCAACCTACTTGTTGGAAGACTAAACGTGTGCATGGCACTGCATGGCATGCATGGTTCAAGCAGTCAGGCTTATGCTCTATAGGGTGTGCTGTGTTGTAGATGAGCAAAACCCAGGGTAGTTAGGTTGTTAATCAGCAAGGTTATCATTGTTGGATCTGTTAGGTTGATTGTTCCTTTGTTCAGCAACTGTTTGCTATATAAACAATGTAACTCAGCAGGTTTTGAAGCATGAAATAAAGATATGGTTTCTTTCTCATTTCTCAGTTTCTTAATACGACTTCACTAAACAGTGAAGTACTCCCCATGGTTTACGACTGATGCAATCTATTTCTCCCTCAACTAGAAAACACTAAAAAAAACTTCCTAGCCTACCAACCTACGAATAGTCACCATGGTCCTACGACTAACATACGCATTAACAACCACTATAAATACTCCAACTAAGATTGAATAAGGGGATAGACCACCTGAAATCGATCAACCACTCTTTTTTCCCCTTATAATTATTCTCTTTCTCCCTTCTTTAAACATCAGTCTACGGTTGTCATCTCTTCAACTGTGACTCTTTACCCAAACTTGCATAAGCTCGTCTTATTTCCATCAGCAATGTTTATTTACTTTATTAAAAAAATAATAGAAATCAAACTATACATCAACATTGAATCTGCTGATTGGCATCTCTAACAAAGTCAATTGTTTATGAGGTCGTTGATGATGCGCAAAAATAGATTGCAACTCTTATCCATGGATCATTGAACTAAGTTCTTGGCTACTTGAAAGTTGAAACCCCCATCCAAGAAAAACACCTAAAAATATTTTCCATGCTCCCCGGCAACCTGTCTCCATCTAAAAACAAATCACATCTGTCCTGTATGCGAAGCTTCAAAATCATCATCCAGCAAATTCAATAATTCGTTTATTATTTCATAAAGTAATAATTTTATATTGATTAATATTTATATATTTATTTTAATTATTGTATTATAGAAATAAGTCACATCCAAAATTTGAACTTCTTGTGAAAAAAGTTTTGTTGTCTTGACCATGTACCGTGTCAATGCCTCCTACTTAATGCTCATGCCGTAGCCGCGTAGCGGTCGAGTCAGGTATACATCCAAGGCCACCGGCCACCATCCTCCACTTGCCAGACCCCAATTGTCGAAGGGCAAAGTCCAACGCAATTTGACGACCAAGGTTTTTGTAGTGTATTTCAAGTAGGGAGCGCATTTGACCCAGACTCAACAAGTGATGACACGGTCCGATTTGATTAAATTAATTTTTTATTTTATAAGTTTGAGTTCGGATCGGATTAAAATATTTTAACGATGAGTGAATCAAGTTTGAATTTAGGATAAAAAATTATAATCAATGTAATATTATAATTGTCCTTTATAATTTTTTTTAAAAAAATACCATAATACTCTTCTTTATTTTACTTAATAAAAATAAATTATGCATACGTTGGGTTAGGTTTGATTCAAGTGCAGTTTTGACCTAAAATATTATATCGAAATTTATATCTTGTGGAACTTTTCTAAATTCTGAATCAAATTTGCTACTTCGGATTAAATTCCAATAAGAAAAAATTCGACGTTATTCGACCCATGCCCATCCTAATTTCAAGCCTCGGAAAGTGATGCCATTGAATTTATCACCTCCAATAACACCAAGGTCTTAGTTGGCATTTGACCAGTAGAGCTTTCTATGAAACACTCTCTTATACGAATATAATAATAAATATTTGAACTACAGTTCTGTGAAAGGGATCATTGACTGACCCTAATATTCGTTTGTATTTTTATACGCGACCCAAAAGTATCAAACCATCATAAGAAGCTACCTTTTGTACATGTAAAAAATATACCTTTTGTATATGTATGGAAAAAAACATAATTGAAATGTCTGTGCATTGCACTTGAATCACCGTTAGATTCTGCTATTTCCGTGATCATCATCCTCGACAATGCAATAGCCAATAGTCATTTGGCCATTAAAGTTCCAAAAATGGCTAATCTTCACCGTCGTCGTCGAGATCAAGCGAGTACACCACATCTTCACTACACCATCCCGCGCGTAACAGCACAACCGACAAAACCCGCAACGACGAGGTCGCGTTTTTCTCTTTGTTCTCGCTGTGATCACAGCCGTCCATCATCATCATCTCCCTCACCTCCTCCTCCCTCCACCCTCCGTCTCGCAGTCTCCAAAACACTTCCTCCAAACATCCGCCCAATCCGAAGTCGTCCTTACTCCACCACCCCGTGGTCACCCCACGCGCCACCACCCTCCTCCCTCTCTCCGCCGCATCGGTCCAAAACTCAATCCTCCGAGCGGATGTCGCCGCCCAAGCCGGCACCTTGTTGCTCACACCATTGCTTTTCCTCCTCATGAAAGGCTTGGAAACCCCACCTCTTCTAAAAAAATCAACTTCCTGAAAAAACCTAGTGACATCAAAGCTCATGATTCTAACTTCCTCCCCATCAACGTAAAAAACAGGGTTTCCCGCCACGTTCGGCGTCGAAGGGATATAACAGTTTCGATAGATGGGAACTAAAAGAGGCGCCGTCATAAACAATTTTTTAACCAGAGCCAGAGCATCATTGGGATTCGGAGGTTTAGGCCCCCATGAGTCGGACCAAAAGTTGCGCAGCTTAATATTCTTGGAAAGAGACAACAAAGGAAAGTTGAGGAGAATGTTGAGCTGCTGAGGGGATGAAGATCGCCAGTTCGGGAAAGAAGGGTCGACGGGGAGGCCTTCTCGGAGTATAGAACGAAGGTCGGGAGGGAAAGTGAAGCGGAAAGTGGATTCGATGGAGGCGAATTCTTGGTCGGTTAAACCCGGGAGGATGGGGATGTCGAGGGATTGGAGATGGTGGATAAGGGCCTTGGAATACGCAGCAAAAGAGAAACAAACAAGGTTCGATCTTTGTGGAGGTTTGAGCAAAGTGTTTGGGGGTTGAATTTGGGTCCTGGTTGCTGTTGCCGCCATTGAAATTCACCTCCTCCTTTGATGAGTTGAGGACCCAAGGAAGGAAAGAAAGGGTAAGGAATGTGGAAGCTTTGATAGTTGACAAGGTCGTTCTTCTGATATATAAAACGTGAGCCTGCAATGTATTATTCTTTGCATCCGTTTCCTTGTTTTTTACTTCAAAAAATAGAATTGGATTTGCCAGTTTAGAATAGTGTGACATTTCTCCAAAGGATACTATTTTTTTTTGAGTAAAAATATATAATTTCATTAATATATGTCTCGTTAAAAATCTCTCTAATTTTATAATCGAATACGGAGAAAAAACAATATGATCAGGTTGTCAAAAGGATACTAATTTTATCACCTCCACCGAGCAAGAATATCTAAAATAACGTATTCAATTCAAACACTACTTTGGTCATCCTAAATATACGACTCCAAAACAGAAGGTTTCGATCACAATAAATATTTTACAACATTTCTATATTAATATATTTTATTTATTAATTAAATCACCATACATTATTTGAATTATTCATTGAATTTATACTTGCAATATCCTTTTACTCTTTTTTGAACATTTCAAAGCTTATTAAAATATCGTAGAATAGACGTTATTTGGGTTAACTATACATATGATTACTTATATTTGTGTTTTGTTTACTTTTGGTTACTGATTTCAAAATGCATAAGATATAGTCGATTTCGTTCTTATTTAATTAAGATGTGGTCACCATGAATTAACTGTCGTTAAATTATTTTAGTATAATCACACATTTGGTTCATGTTATTTACATATTCTCTCTATGTAGTCATACTTTTAATAAACTAAAATAAATTTAAGCCTCTAATCGAATGATGTCACTATCATTGATATCACGTGTCGCGTCGTGTGTCATCGTTCGGTTAGAAGACTAACTTTATTTTAATTGAACAAAGCAAAGCAAATTAATTTTGAAAAATAAATATATTAAGTTAAACTAAATTAAAATAAAGTTAGTCATCCAACCGAATTGTGATACGTGAATTCATTTGATCGGATGATTAAATTTATTAAAAACATGACTAAATTGAGAGAATATTTAAATAATATAGACCAAATGTGTGGTTATACTAAAATATCACATAACTTAGTATGGTAACCGTTAACCTAGTTAACTCGTGGTGACCACATTTTAAATAAATAAAAACAAAAGTGATCATATCTTAATTAAATAAAAATTAATGTAAGCATATCTTATGTATTTTGAAATTAATGACAAAAAATGGACAAAACAAAAACATAAATGATCATCCGTGTAGTTAACACAAAAACATATTGTATATAGTTAGGCAAAATCATTTAAATTAATACAAATCAATATCATAACGTTATAAATAATTATATTTTAAATTTTAAAAAAATGTGTTTGATTCAACTCGACTCAAATTTTATATATTTGATTCGAAAAAATTCAAATACAATGAGTGATAAAATGGTACTCGTAAATTTTACAAACTTAAAATTTTCATTTTACTCGCCTCGGTCCAATATTCTCCCCTAAATAAAACTATAAAGAACTTGTGCATAAACTGTGACCGATTTTCTTTCCATCTCTTAAGGTTCACACAAGAAAAGAAAAATACTAAAAGCATACTAACTTGAACAAAAATATCTTTTAATACAAAATTATTTACATCATACCTTATCTAAAAGACCATCCAGCTCAGTTGGTAGAGCACAAGGTTCTTAACCTTGAAGTCGTGGAATCGAGTCCCATGGAATGGCATTTCATAATTCAGAGGTCTCCTACGGAAGTTGCTCTCAACCTAGTGTTGGGACAGCTTACTATCTTACCTCCTCTTACCCCATTACATATGGGAACATGGGACACTCATTATAATAATAATAATAGAGAAAATAACCTCAGTGACCGAAAATGCCTTGTAATATACGATTTTGACTAACTTTTTTTGGATTTGCCAAAATGACCAAGTAAATCGCAATGCGATTGATAATTTGCAACGCGATCTCCGGTATCGCAAATCAGTTTCCAGATTCGCAACGCGATAGTCGAAGTTCGCATTGCGATTTATTCCAAATTCGTTGCGATAGGCGAAGTTCGCATTGCGATTCATTCCAAATCGTTGCGATAGGCGAAGTTCGCGTTGCAATTCATTCCAATTCGTTGCGATAGGCGAAGTTCGCGTTGCGATTCATTCCAAATTCATTGCGATAGTCCAAATATTGCATTTGTTTCTTAAGAATTTTCTCTAAAAAGATAGAATTCGCGCGGACGTGTCGAAGACACGTATTACCACGACCACGACCAGAGATGGGACGGGACGACGGCAGCAGCGGCACGCGAGAGTCCCCCTTGTTCTCTATCACTCAACAAGGAAGTGGGAAAGCCAAGCCTTAAATACCATTCCCAATAGTGTTTCTAATACTATGTGGGATTGAGCATTACCAACACTTGTTTCCCAATACCATTACCTTCATGTCTGTAAGAGTTAATTTTGAAACTAAAAAAATATTTATTCGAATAAATAACTTACCCTTTGAGGACTTTGATGGAAGAAAAAATTAACCAAACAATGCAAAGGAGACAATGATGGAAGTTTTCAACTGAGGATGCTACGAAAACTAGCTGATAATGACACAAGGAAACATATCGAGTTGTTTGGTCATCATCTACTCTTGCAAGTAAGTCATTGAACATTATAAGAACCCGAATCAGAGTTAGTTTTAGCAATTACTTCATTTATGATCAAAGTCCTCAAAGGGTAAGTTATTTATTCGAATAAATATTTTTTTAGTTTCAAAATTAAACTCTTACAACAATGAAGGTAATTGTATTGGAAACAAGTGTTGGTAATGTTCAATCCCACATAGTATTGGAAACACTATTGGGAATGATATTTAAGGTTTGACTTTCCCACTTCCTTGTTGAGTGATAGAGAACAAGGGAGACTCTCGCGCGCCGCCGCCGTCCCGTCTCTGGTCGTGGTCGTGGTCGTGGTAATACGTGTCTTCGACACGTCCGCGCAAATTCTATCTTTTTAGAGAAAATTCTTAAGAAACAAATCCAATATTTGGACTATCGCAACGCGAACTTCGCCTACCGCAACGAATTTGGAATGAATCGCAACGCGAACTTCGCCTATCGCAACGAATTGGAATGAATCGCAACGCGAACTTCGCCTATCGCAACGATTTGGAAAGAATCGCAACGCGAACTTCGACTATCGCAACGAATTTAAAATGAATCGCACGCGAACTTCAACTATCGCGTTGCGAATCTGAAAACTGATTTGCGATATCGGAGATCGCGTTGCGAATTATCGATCGCATTGCGATTTACTTGGTCATTTTGGTAAATCCAAAAAAAAGTTTATCAAAATCGTATATTACAAGACATTTTCGATCACTGAGGTTATTTTCTCATAATAATAATAATAATAATAATAATAATAGAAGTTGAAATTGTTAAAACTATGATGGAAAAGAACAACATACAAATAAAATTACACAGAATGATTGAAGATTAATTAAAAAAAAATTAAGATAAGAAGCAAGATAACGATAGCATGTCATTAGTTTATTGACGACTACTACTTAAAAGCCGTAAGAAAATTTCGACCGTTTTTCCAATCAAATAAGTAAGTAATTTGACTATGTTTCCCATAAATGACACAAATTTCTTCATCATCACCTAAAACAAATTTAATATCCCATCATCTCATAAACAAAGACCGGAAATGGTCCAATCACAACATGACACGACGCACCTTTTTATTCATAATTCAACATTTGTGAAAGTGATACGATTTAATAATATTGTTGGCGAAATCAGTTCAAAGAAAAAGGGTTCACGTTTGCATTAATTGTGATCCCGGGGACCCACGGATTTGTACTTGTGATGCGTCAATAATGAAGACAAAGAGAGGCAACGGGGCTTCAGTAATTGAACAAAGATTGCCATATGGCATTGCTGCATTTTAAAACTATGTTTAGCGGATGATATCTTATGATTGATGTATTATACTGTGAATAAAATACAACGACTGCGATTAGGCCTTTGAGCCTCATCCTGTTGTCTCGGTGTGTAAAGCCAGACACACAGAACACAGAGGATCTCTGATACGTAACTAAATAAGAGTTAATTACTTCATATGTCCCCAAACTATGGCCCTCATTTCAAAATAGTCCTTAAAATTTTAAACATTCCAATTTCATCCTAAACTATGAATCTCGTTCTAAATTGGTCCCTAGACCTTTACATCTTCCAATTGCATCCCCAAATTCATCCGAATATGTAATCCATTTCAACCATAGTTTAACCTAAATATTATTTTTTTCAAACATAGAAAAACATAACTTGCCTAATGATTTTATTAACAAGAGATGTGATTGGTACATATAATTCAGGATAAAATTGAAATATTTAAAAAGTTTAAAGACCAATTTAGAATGAAGATCACATATTAGGGATGAAAAATGAGATGTTCAAAAGTTGAGGACTAGTTTAGAATGACAGTCATAGTTTAAGGATAAAATTAAAATGTTTAAAAGTTTAGGAACCAGTTTGAAATGAAAGTCATAGATCAAGGACGTATGATGCAATTAACTAAATAAATAAATGCACGAAAAATGAAAGCCTGCTTTTCTTATTATTATCGAATCAATATAAAAATGGGTCAACAAATTGTTGAAGAGTAAACACAACTTGTTCCGAACTTTGTGTTTCTTCGTTGGACTGATGAAATTACTTTTCAATAGTTTAAGAGATTATAAAATTATAATTATACGTACACATCTTACAAATAAAACTATCATAATCTGTTACGGATGTGAAGGTGTTGAATGTCCTACACGAAATTATCCAACACGGCAAAACAAATAGATCCGATAAAAGATTTGAAATTTGAAAACGAGTCGATTCGTTTACGGGCCTAATTTTAATTTGTAAAAAGGCAAAGCATCCCATTTTACGTTCGTCATACACAAAAATCCAGTCCACCGAGAAAGCAAACTA